AGATAAGACAGAAAATATCATAATGCCACTATATAAATCCATTGTACGCCCACATCAGGAATACTGCATGCAGTTCTGGTTACCCCCATCTCAAAAAAGATATATTAGAATTGGCAAAAGTACACAGGATGGCAACAAAAATGACTAGGGGTTTGGAACAGCTTCCATACAAGTAGAGATTAAAAAGGCGGACTGTTCAGTTTAGAAGAGAGATAATTGAGGTCGATAAAATCATAAATGGTGTGGTGAAAGTGAATAAGGAAGTGTAATTTACACTTTCACATAGCACAAGAACCAGGAGTCACACAATGAAATTAACAGGCAGCAGGTTTAAAACAAACGTAAGGAAAGTACTTCACATCATGCACAATCAACGTGTGGAACTTGTTGCCAGAGGATGTTGTGAAGGCCAAAAAAAGAATTAGATAATTTCACAGAGGATATGTTCTTGATGGCTATTAACCAAGATGGTCAGGGACGCAATCCCATGCTCTGGGTGTCCCCAAACCTCTGACTACTAGAAGCTAAGACTGGACAACAGGGGGTGGATCATTCGATAAATTGCCCTGGTCTGCTCACTCCCTCTGAACCATCTGGCACCAGTCACTGTCAGAAGACAGGATACTGGGCTAGATGGGCCATTGGTCTGACCCAGTACAGCCATTCTTATATTCTTAGTACACTAAAAACCTGATTCTTATGCACCAAAATCCAAATAGAAATCTGGAATGAATGGTAGCGGCAATCTAAGAAGAGGCTCACGTGAAAATTGGGATTGAATATCCTCAGACAGTCAATACAAAAATTCACTTTTATTCCATACCTCATATCGATGATCCAATAGAAGGCATTGTACAGGCCACGCATAGGATCACACATGGTCTTAGTAGGGATTGCCCATAAAAGTGTGTTTTGCATGCAGCAAAAGCGCACACTACTTTCTATATTCCCTCAGATTTATTCCAATTGATAGCCATGCCTTTTGGTCTGCACACAGAACCACTCAAGGCTCTGCCCACTTCTAACACACAAAGGAAGAGTAGCAGCCTCACAGAGGCTTTTCTCCATGTCCCCCACAATGTGAATAGCTTATGGGCAGGGCCGGTGCTACCATTTAGGCAAACTAGGTGGTTGCCTAGGGCGCCAAGGTTTGGGGGCACCAAAAAGCAGTGCCCCCAATTTTTTTTT